ATCATCATGTCTGAGGAGCTTGGATGTGCACAGAACCCAGATGGAACACTCAAGGATGCTAGTGAAATTGTTTTCACTTATTCTAGAGAAGCTTCCCCTGTCAATCTCTCAGCTCTGCTTCCAGATATCCATGCTTCCACTGGTATTCATCCACAAACAAGTACAGTCAATGATACATCTCTACCAAAGGATCCTGCCCATGGCAAAGCACCAAAGTTGAAGCATCAAAAGCTATGCAGAGGCTGTCCAATTGCTTTCAAAGCTCAATGTGCTCTTTCAGAGTAAGATTGGTGCTGAGTTTACTGAGGCTAGGGCACTTTTTCCAAAGCTTACAAGAAACCTATGCAAGAAAATAAATAGTTCTCTTGAACAGACTGATATTTGGTCATTTTTTAAGTAGACAATGTATTATTGAGTTATGTACTACAAATAAGGAAATTTTATTACTTTACTTAAGCTACTGTCAACAAGCATAACCTCTTATTAAGCATGGCCTCACTTGTCCACGGTGGGTCATGCTTAATGACAGGTTTCACTGTACTAATATTTTTAATCTGTATTATGTCTTCACCAGATTATCTCATGAAGGTGTCTCTTTAGGTAAGTGAAGTTATATTATATTAATCTAGGTATCAGATTTGACAACATAATCTAGGATGATATCTACTCTAGGTATGACAATATGCCTAATACAGATCTAACCTACCCCTCTCAGATTCTCCTGACACATGGTGACTTTGCCCAATCTTGTGCAGTATGGCTCACTTTTTTTTTTTTCGCAGCCGACATGCTCGATGTTTGCAAACCATTACTATTGAATACGATTCTCCAGATCTCTGAAACTTAACGCGGCGTGGACGTCGTCTACAACGCACTTGGACACAGACGGACCCAAAGCTAAAATGGTGGCATCAGCACTGGTGACAGTAAATTGAGGAAGAGACGAAGGTTTGGTAGATGCAAATTCGACCACATAGGACAGAGTTAACAGGTGCTGCGCGCCGTTTGATTGATACGTTGATATTATTATAATATTGCCAAGACCCCTTCAGTGCCATAACCCACACATGGAAATAATGCAGGTCATTGTGGAAACGCAGATGTGTTCATTGTGAACTGCAGACATAAAGTAATGTTCATAGTTGTGGATATGATCAGACTCAGGCATGCTGGAACAATTCTTTGCAACGGGGAAAGATGATATTGTTAGCTCGTTACAAATGACATTCTGTATTCATATTTATATTTCGACACTCCTTTGTCCAGTTACGATAGCTAAACAGGGATATATCTCTTATACAACTTTAAAGTACAGTGTACTTAGGGTGACAACATTTCCGTTCGATATGTGCAAATATGCGAAAGCGAGATAGCGAAATAGTGTAAACTAAGCAAACATAAGTTTGTGAGTCAGTCGTTTGTTATGATCGGAATTGACGATTCAGATTGCGGTTCACTTCCAATGGAAGCAAATTGTGACCCGAAACCCCTGTAGCACAGGTCAGAATTCACCATGCAGGTCATCACACGATTCAGGATGAATCGTGAGATGAATCCTGAAGTTTGGCTACTCCTATTTTATCGCTGGCAAGCCATAACATTTCTTTCCTCTTGTGTACCACAATCATCACGAGATCTTCCGGCAGGTCCTTCGTCAATTGTTTCGCCTAGAATACAGGTGTCAAATAATGTGTAGCAAAAGCGGGAGCAGAAATATGGAACTGGAGGATCGAGAACATGGCATACCTTTATTTCGGTGAATGTCGACCACCTACACAGACTATGATATCTAACGTTCTTCATAAAATCTGAGATGATATCATGCCTGGGACGTTTCTTTGCCATTTGTTAGAATAAAACTATACATTCTGCAGCAAAGCAATCACTTACGCTGCTTCTCTCAGTGGACTCCTTGTTGCCTTCCGGTCGCTGAGATGCCCCAAACTAACGATCATCATGAGCAAAATGAGATTCAGGACCAAAATACTGTGCGCTTACCATCGACAATCCCGATGTGCTCAAGAAGAAGGTGTAGAAATTACCGTAAACTGCAATGTTAGACTTCACAGCAATCGGATACACTTGCACTGGAATGCTCGACGAGACCCGGAGTCTGCGAATCTCCTTAAGGATAAGCCTTTGCATGAGTTCATGCAAATGAAACTCGAACGGCTCGCCATGACCCGTATTCTTAACATTGTACCAAGGAACCACAAGGTAGGTTTCGATAACACTGAGCATATTGAAGAACTCCCGTTCAAACCCAATTATTGGCAGACCGTCACCGAACGGTCTTGTCTCCCGATCACCAGCTGTCTTCTTAGCCATGCCCTCAAATGCATAGCCTCTATCAAGCTGTCTCTTGCCAAAGTCAGCATCCGAGATATGCTCTCCCTCGCGCACCATACGGCAAAAAAATAAGAGACAGAGGTAATAGACGGACTCGGCATCATGCATAGCACCATGTCGGAAGAGCTCCTCTGGGTTCTTTTTCCTCACATAGTGAATATGGCCAAGATCACGGTAGAAGCTATCCCATTTTGCTTCCTCCCCGTTACGGTATTGCTTACCACTACCACCAATGGCTATCAGCATCAAGTTCATGTCATCCTCATCGAACGGAATCGAATTCATGGCCCTCTTTGTACGAGGTGCCAGAACGTCAGCTGCCATAAACATCGGTGTGCCCTGAATGGGACAATATAAACGAACGGCACTCCTTCAGGGCACAATCTTACCGTAGCATTCTTCAAGTCATCAGTTGCCATTGTCAAGTCTTGTGCGTGGTCGAAATCAGTAAGCGCGACTTTGACGCGTCGTCTGAGCAGGAGTTTAGAGATAGTTACACAAGCAGTACAGCAACGCACGGTTTATTTTCCCCAGTTACATCGTCATCGTCATCATAATCCGAGATAAATTGATACTTGTCCCAATTTGCTTCTTTCTTTGGTATTTGAAATGGACTAATTACTGGAACGAGGACGTTCCCCAAACTGATGTCCCGATGTAAAACGTCTCGCTCATGAATGTGATACTGAAGTACTGGAGAAAGAATGAAATTCTGGAAATGAAAGTCGCTTCACTACTTACTTTCCAGCAGATCATAGATGGCTTCGAGAAATTCCAATACAGATTCAGCAGAAGTAATAGATCGACCTATCGTTTTCAGAGCTATTAGGTTCTGATGTCGACCGCTCTCCTCGTCGTACTGAATGGAATCACTAGATAGAGCCTCGTCGATGAGCACAACACCCGGTGCATCTTTCAGCTTTTCAAGAAAGTACCACTCTCTGGAGTGATCGTTGTCCGAGTGCCACGAATATTTGAGTACAAGCCGATCCGCAGGGTTGCCTGCCGCGAAGGCCAATGCAACGAAAGGCTTGCGCCCGTTACCTCTTCCAGAAAAGATCGGAATGAGATAGTACAATCTTCTACCCAATGTCACGGAGTGTATAGCAATAGGCCTTTTCCTTCCGTTGTCTAATGTGATTAGATACTGTGGTACAGGAACACGCTTATCTCGTATTGTCGAAGCTTCCTCCCAGATGAGCCTGATAGATTCGTAAAGCTTCCGGATCGGCTCTAAAGATTGCGCCTCCCATTTTACATCACTCCAAAAAGCGTTGTTGTCCAGAGAGATAGATATTAGGCGAAAACGCTTTGTGTTAATTACAAGACCGAATTGCAGGGGCGATCCATGCCTATGTCGGGAAACCGCGAAGCAATAACGTTGTCCTTGAAGTAGTTGATTCTCTTTAACTTTACACTCGATGGCCACAATGATCTCGTAGGCAGAGGGAACTCGTATCCTGTGATTTTCATCGACGACCAGCTGTTCCGCGTCTTCGCGATCGACCAAAAAGCCTACTATGTCTGGTTTGTCCCTTGCTCCGTCCATAACGCGCAGCGAAATGGTAGCATTCGGCACAAAAACAATGACTTTGTCACCTTGACAGACATCAAGACTGATAAGGGTCAAAGCCTTTGCAAGTGGGTCATACATGGGTACCTCGTTCCCTGTGTCTATCGACTCATTACTCCTGAGAGACAGAAGTCCTGAGTTCTGACACAGAAGGGTGTAGAACCTTTAGAACTGAAGGTGTAAGAGTAGAGAACTGTAACATACTGACTGCCCACTTTGAAATAATTTAAAATTTTTTAGCATTTCTTCTCTAGGTAAAATTTTAATTTTCTTTTAATATTTTATAAGATTTAATATTATAAATGAAATTCTAAATATTTTTTGTCTTAAAATTTGAAAGAAAATTTATAATTTTGTTTTAAAAGAAACTTCAAATTATGTTTTAAATAATTATTCTCATTTATTTCAAGATTTCACAAATAAAGATATGCCAAAATTAATTTATAGTTTTTGTCTAAAGAAAATTTTAAATGTTGTTTACAATTTCTATCAACCAAAAATGGTAAATTAAATTATGAATTATATTTAACATTATGTAAGTTATTTTTTAAGGCAAGAAATTGTGAAATGCCTGATGTGATTGGTAAAGCGGGTCGAATCACGTGACATATATGATGAAACACCCGATACAGATAAGTAATCACACTTCTTGATCTGCGGATCCTGCAGGACCTGCACTGCACAGGCCACAAACAACCATGACGACGTCCTCATCTTTCACCTTTCAACCAGGGAAAGATTCGCAAGCATTATACCCAGATTTCGCCCCTGCATTTGAGGGATTCTTTAGCATCCACGGTGGTGCGAACAAGCATTACACATATTCCGACTACTCTGGAAATGTGTCTCGTCTTGACAGAGTGGTACAGTTGATTCCTGTTTATAGACTATATACAGACTGACTCTTACTACTACCTCTCCTTACTTCATTATTCTACTCTTTTAACTACCTCTTTATTTCTTGTTCATTCTATAGTCTCTTACCCTTTATCCATCCCTTCATTCTTTGTACCTTTATCTTTGACCTTCCTTTCTTTCATTCTTTGTGGCTCATTATTCTTAGTAGCTCATATTCTCTGAGTACTCTTGTATAGTTTAGTATATATAAATATATAAGATTAGACTAGTCCTAGAGTCTTAATCTTGTTTACTCTAAGTAGTCCTGTACTCTTAGACTTACTCTATATACTCTACTTGTGCCTTACTCTCTCTCTCTGTCTGTTCTGTGAGTTCTGACTATGTTCTAATACTTACACTCTGTATTTTTGTTGTGTAAGATAGTTGTAACCTAGGTCTCCTTACTAAGCCTTCAGGTCCCCTCTATACTGTTACTAACATTAGATTAAGACTACTCATTACTACCCTACAACTCTCCTACACTTTAGGTATTAGTACTTACTATTGTGTCAATCTCTTCTCTTTGTTCTAACCCTTTTACATTTTTAAAATTTAAGCTTTCTAAACCCTTTTAAACTTTTACTACCCTTCTTCTATTTATTACCCCTTTTAGTTTAGTGTCAATCTCTTTATAGTATAAACATAGACCCTTCTAAGCTAACTGCCACCTCTACTGTCCTACTAGATTAGTAGTTATAAGCAGACTTAGCTTAATATGTATAAACCTTTATTTAAAAGGCTTTTACTAACTATATACTTATAACTTAGCTACAACCTGTTCTAATTGTTTTAAAAGTTATAACCTGTTCTAGAAAGAAAGTGTATGTAGCTTACCCTTCAGACTTTAATAGGTAGTACTTTAAGGACTTCTAGTACTAAGTCAAACTATATGTAGCTACTACTTTGACCAATTTATTCTTAGACCTTAATTATGTCTTATTTGTCCTCTCCTTTATAAAGGAAGGTAATACAGTTATCTAGGCCTAGAATTAGATTAAAGACTATCAGATTAGAAGCCTAATCTGACTTTAGAACAATAAGTTGTACTTAGAATTTATAGAACAGCTCTATACTTCCTTTATTAATCTAAACAAGAAGTGTAATACACAGAGCAAGCTTGTATCTTTGTAACAGGGTAAACATTCTGTTAATACCTTCTTTCAGGAGTTTAATATCCTAGCCTAGAAGGTAGAATTTGTACTCAGGTTTGATAATGTCCTTATTAGAATGCTTAAAAAAGCTCTCTACCTAGAATTAGTTAATAAGATTCTCAGAATGATACTAGAACTGGTTACTTACACTAAGTAGAAGACCTACACCATTTCCTTCAACCAAGCTACAGTTTGAATGTGTTAAGTCTGTACAAAACACTTACATATGTGTCTGACTCTGACAGTTCTAAGCCTTTAGATTAATCTGTCTATAATTTACAATCAATCTATTCTAATAAATATTAGAGAAGTCTGAAAGTAAGGAGCATACTTTGTCTACAGAAAGTTAGGGTACTAAATTAAGAACTGTTTACAGAAGTAACAGTATATCTATCAGATTATTAGAGTAATAATAAGTAATGAGTAGGATTTGTAGTAAGAAGCCTTTTCTACAAATCTAGAAGTTACCTTAGAACTTTTAGACTCTAACTATGTACTTTAGGATTTTATAGAGGCCTAACAGTAAATACAGTACTAAAGAACTATAACTTGGATTTTTTAATAACTACTTTTAATTTAATAGACACTGTAGGATTAGAAGTAAATAAAGTAAGAAAAGTAGAAAAAGTAGAAAAAGTAAATCAAGAAAATTATTTATTAAAAAGGAAAAAGTTAAAAACAAAAGTAGATAGTTCTCTTATTCCTTCTAGTTATTTTGATTCTTTTCTTTACACTTTATCCAAGTCTAAATCTGTACAATCTAACTTACTACTTCTGTGTTTTAAGAACTTAGAATGTTCAGAACACTATCTAGTCCTGTTTACTACTCAGTAGTTTGTCTATAGTATTAAGCAGGGATAGCTTTAACTGAGTTTACAGTTAAGAACATAAGTCTGTCCTTATTGAAAGAGAGAGGTTAATAAGGAAATGTTAGTACATATACTTACTCTCTCAGATAACAAGACTGTACAAGCTGTACATTCCTTTTAGAACAAGTAGTAATTTATTAGAGAATGTTTCAAACACTAGCTCTAAGTTCTTGTCCTCTTAGCTCCCTTCTTAGAATTCTCTCAGATTTAAATAATAACTCTAATAGACAGTAAATACACTAGTTTATGTATTAATAAGGCTTTTGTGTAGAAACACTATCTTAATACTTAACACATTCTACTTCTAATCCTAGTATACAATGTAGACAGAACCCTGAACCAGAATAGTTGAATTACTAAGTTTGTCTAACTACAAATGACTATTCAGAATTATAAGGAAAGTATTGAGTTCAGAGTTACTAACCTTAGAAAGACAAACATCTTTATTAGATTCAAATGGTTTAAGACTTATAACCCTACTATTAACTGGTTAGAGTAAACACTTGTGTTTAATCAGTGTTCCAAGTCTTACAACTATCTTACACTACTGTTCTAAGTAGATACAGACACTTCTAATGTTACTTACAGTTCTAATAAAGGTGACTAGTTGTTCTTCTTCAACTAGGATAGATATGTAGACACATATTCTAGTTAGGGTGGAACAGAGTCAATCTGAAGAATGTCTAAGACAGAACTAGTTTAGAACCCTCTTAGAACAACTCTACTCTAGAACACACATAGACTCAGTCTGCCAGATTTTGTCTAAGAGTTTCTCAAAGTCTTTAGTAAAGAGGAATTTGACTAGCTTTCTAAACATTACTCTTAAGACTATACAATTGAGTTGACTAAGAGTTTCTAACCTAAGGATTGTAAGGTTTATCTACTCAACAGAAATGAGTAGAAGGTGCTTAATAAGTTCCTTTAGGAAAAGTTTTAGAACAGCTGAATCCAACCCTTAAAGTCTCTTATAGCCTCCCCTTTCTTCTTTGTCAAAAAGAAAGATAGGAAGCTCTGTCTAGTCTAGAATTATTATTACCTTAATAAGAGTACTTATTAGATTGTGCTCTAGATTAGGAAATCCCTAATTGCCTTTTGTAGAGTTACTACACTTAGAATGTCTCAGACTATTAGACTTTACTATATAGTATATAAGGTAGACACTTGCTTAATGTCTTAATAAGAGAGAGTACTTAGGGTACTCCTACTATACTAGTTAAAAGGTTATAAGCCTTAGTACCTATTGAATACTCTTACACACTTACTCTTACAGAACACCTTTGCCTCCTACTAGCCACCAAGCCCTAGACCTCCCTCTCCCCCTAAACCCATTATAATGTTGTCTACAATACATACTTTTGTTAATGTTATAATGAAGGACTCTAACATTATAAAGTTTTTTGAGAGAACAGAAAAGTTGGCTAGTATGAAGGGATACAAGATATGGTGCTTGTACATACACAGTGCACTCACTACTATAATACTCTCAGACTATCTAGAGCACAATCCCCCTTCCTCTAATAATGCTAGCATATGTACAGACAATGTTTTGTATCATTGTATAATGAAAACAATAACTAATACAATTTATACAAACTTCACAACACATACAAGTGTTAGAAGTCTCATAAAGGTGCTTTCTGAATGATACAATGTTCAAACAACAATAACACATGCTGTAAACATATCTATGTTGTTTATAGTAAAAGGGCATGTATTACAGTTTGATAAGATGTTAGACAATATTGAACAAATTTACAGACAGTTGTCTACACATAATAAAGCCCCTAATAACAATACATACATCTTAGTGATTAACCTCACTACTCCTTGTGAGTATAGATGGGTAGTAACAATGCTAGACAGGCAGATTACCTATTATAATTAACTACCAACAGTTACAGCAACTCAGAAAGACATTCTGATGCTAGCTAAGTTGATACACAAATTACAAAACACATATACTAAGTATCATTCTTAGTACTCTCAAACGAAACAAGATACTGAACAAGACAGCCTACAAACGAAAGGTAAAAGTGTAGCTAAAGGCAAAACAAAGCCTTATAATAAAGTTAAATACTACAACTGTAATAAGTACAGGCATATGTCAAAAGACTGCCAAAATCCTCCAACAAGTAAAACAACAGAAGCTTGAAAGAAAAAGTATAGGCAAACAGCTACTGCTTCTACTACTACTAC